TTTTTTTTTTTTTTTTTGTGGCTACAATCTATTTATTCAACCCTCACTTAACCAACTTTTTTCAAAGATAAGTCAAATGATTACAATGCGTATTTAGTTGAGATATTACGCTCAAAAATTGAAAACAAATCCCTTAAATAAATAAAAAGTAACTTAACCAGCTTTATCCATACAAATAATTAAAACCATTCATTTCTAATATTTTTAATGTATTTCCTGTCAAATGAGATTTGATATGATATAAGTATTCAACTGCAAAAGTACATAATTTTACTTTGTAATTGATTGATTTTTTAACTCTTTTGGTGTGTTACTAACAGTCTATAATATTCTAAATATTTTGGTAACATGTTGCTAATAAATCACAAATCTAAAAAAAAAAAATGATTTTTAGTTTCACCTGAATTTAACAATAAATTTTGACAATTGTAATCAAAATTTATAATTCGCTCAATTAAGTAGACCTTTTTAACAACTTTTTTTTCATTGGTTTTTTTTTTTTTGTTAAAGTAAATCACTAAAATTAATTCAGATCTACATATTTAAATTGTAAAATCTTTTTAAACACCAAAAGTTAATTAGGAATGATTACTATGATTTCTATTTAAGTTATTTATTATGATAAAAATTTGGCATTTTTATAAATTTGTCCCTTTAACTGCCCACAGGAGGGGATTTAAAATGACAACTTTTTCACAAAAAATTAACTTTTTCAACTTAACTTATGAAAGTGTTCCGGATGGTCTGACACTTTTATATATATCTTAAATTAAAGCTAATGTAATGTACTTTATTATGGAAAAAAAAAATTTTACCTCTAAACTTGCCTTCGTGTTGAAAATGGCTTCCGAATGCTATTTTTTTGTGAAAATTCTGGATTTTATATTTTAAATTTTACATTTTTTTACTTTAAAATGCTATAACTTTTTAAAAAATGTATGAATCAATACAATTTTTTCATGAGAAGTAGTATTTATATACATCTTTCATTCGACATACTTTTTTTTTAAATTAGACTTTTTCCTTATATACGTGGTGGTTCAAATCTCAAAAATGCATATAGAAAGTAAAACTTTTTCAACTTAACTTTTGAAAGTGTTCCGGAAGGTCTAACACATTTATATATATCTTAAATTAAAGGTAATGTAATATACTTTATTAAAGAAAAAAAAAAATTTGACCTCTGGACTTATCTTCATGGTATAAATAGACATCAAAGTTAATAAAAGAATTACGATTTTTGTAAAAAAATTCTTTTTTATATTTTTAACTTAATAATGCAATAACTTTATGGAAAATGTATGGATCAGTAAATTTTTTTTTTATAGATGCTTGATGTCTTTACCTATCATTTGATATAATTATATATATATATATATATCTTAAATTAAAGTAAATGTAATGTACTTTATTATGAAAAAAAAAATTTCGGACTTTATTTTATTTTCATGGTGAAAATGGTTACCGAATGCTATTTTTGTGTGATTATTCTCGATTTTATTTTTTACATTTTTAACTTTATAATGCTATAACTTATTGAAAAGTGCATAGATTAACACAATTTTTTTATGAGAAATAATATTTTTTAATAATCCCTTTTTCATTCGACATACTTTATCTTAATCAGGATATTAATAAGGAACTAGCAGATTATGTAACTTTTGGAATAATACACCAATTTTTTAAAATTAAACACTATCTAAAGATTTGCATCGAAGCGTTTTCTTTTGATAGTGATTTTAATCACTGTCAGATATCATTTATACTTGCAAAGATCCCCTAAAAAATTCTTAAAATCTGTTCATTTTTCAAAATTTTAGTTGCTTTGAACGTTATGTAGTTAGAATTAAAACTATGTTAAAAATATTATTAATTTAAAACTTAAAATATTAAAAAATATTAAACTCAAAAGCCACAAAAAATTACTGATTAGTCGCGGATACGTATTTTGGAAGAATGTTACCATTATCAACGCTAAACACATCCTAACACCCCGACTAGGAAAAACTCCCTTAAGGTGTTATCACTAAGTAATAATATCACATTTTGCCAGTTTTCACAATTTTAATAATACATTTTTTAGTTTGTCAAAATTCCAATTAATTGAATTGTCTTTATTTTTAAACATTTCTATTACCTCCCTAATATTAAATTCTTTGTAATTATTTACGTTTATAATTAGTTTTATAGTTTTAAGATGATAAGATCACTAGGAGTATACATGGAAATCTTTTTCTAGTCGGGGTGTCAGTATGTGTTTTGCGTTGATTATTATAATATTGTTTCCAAAATATTGTATGAGCGTTCCTTTAACTAAAATTTAAAAGGAGAACACTACCTGGGTGTCAGAAGTAAACAAATATAATGTAGAAAATTGTGAAAAGGTGTTGAGAGTATTCATATATTAATACTTCTATGTAAGAATATTCTACAAACATAAAATATCATTTAACTTAATGTTAGTAAAGCTTAACTAAAGCTATATATACACAGATATACTTAATATATTCATCCAAAAATTACTAATAAAATGTACCATAAATGTGACCTGTATGTCCACGAGTGACAGCGACCTATGGATTGCGGCTAGTTTATGAATTACAGTTGACATTACAGAATTCGTTCATCAGCGTGAAATGATGTTCCTCGTCAGAAAAACGGTCGCGCATTTGGATTGCACTTTGACAGTAAACATTATTTAATTAACTAGCCACAAGTGATCAATTTTTCATATATGATCCATAAATATTTCTAAAAGTTATATAAATATAAAGTTAAAAATAAACTTACAAATTGTTATACGATAAGCATAAGTTCATCACACTAGGACTGCCAATTTATACAAGTTTTTAAAGATAAATA